GGTTATAGGGGTTAGGGTTTAGAGGTTAGGGTTTAGGGGTTTAGGGTTTAGGGGTTAGGGCGGTTAGGGTTTAGAGGTTAGGGTTTGGGGGTGAGGGTTTAGGGGTTAGGGGTGAGGGTTTAGGGTTTAGGGGTGAAGGTTTAGGGGTTAGGGGTGAGGGTTTAGGGGTTAGGGGTGAGGGTTTAGGGGTTAGGGGTGAGGGTTTAGGGTTTAGGGGTGAGGGTTTAGGGGTTTGGGGGTTAGGGTTTAGGGTTTAAGGGTTAGGGTTGCGTGGACTTCCCTTCTCTTTCAGGGGTTTAGGGTTTAGAGTTTAGGGTTCGAGCTGCATGCCGCTGTAGGTGGAGGCTTCGGGTTTGGGGCTGATTTAGGGTTCTGGACTGTTGGGGGAAGCATGTTACAGGAATTTAGGGCGGTGGAGTCACTGGAAAGACTCAGGTTTAGGCTTTCGGGTTTAGCGGCTTGAAAGACTTATGTTAGGAACTCAGAATAAGTCTTAGTTGTCCAGTATCCTGGGGTCATTAACTTGCAATGCTAGGCTTCAGGTACATCCTAAATCAAGGTTTGGGTTTAGCACTCCAGTCACGTTTCGGATTTCACAAGTCAAGCCCAAAACCCTAAACCCCTACACCCTAAGCCCTAAACCCAAGTTCTCCGTCAGGAGGAGTCGAGATGACGACTGTGTGGTTGAATTTCCGGACCCGGCTATGTTGTGCATCATTCACTTGTGAAGTCCCAGGTTGTCTTCCATGCCAAGCAGGCCACGGATGTCTTTGATCCTCATAGCCTCAAACTCCTCTGACAAAGGGGCCCAGCGTGCAGGATGAAGCGGGGCCACGGGCTTCGTTGTGAACTCCCGTCTTTGAGCTTCTTCATCGTCGTCTCTACACGGACTGCGGGGAGCCGAGAACAGGCTATAGACGTTCCTGTGACTGCGAGTGCAACAGCCAGCGAACGAAACCAACTGCCTGCACCTCTCTGCGCCATAAGGACTCTTGCCAAAAGGACCCTTTAGGAAAAGACGGTTTGCTGCGGCCCCTCTGTTTGTAGGCACTCCTTTGTGCACAGTGAAGCTGTGGTTCACTCAATAGAAGTTCCTGGCAGCTTGGTACTTGCCTAACCGCGAGAAAGGTATCTTTTCAGGCTTAGAGTTTTTGGGTTCAGGGTATGCTTCTTCAACAAGAGATGCGGGGTGTGCAGCCGCTTCAGTCAAGTCTATTCTATTGCTCCGAATTTCAGAAGTCGTGGTGAACGAAACTCTGAACGACAGCAGTCGTACGGCAGAAGAATGACGGAATCCTCATAGCAGGACGAATCTATGACCGTAGGAACCATCGCAGCTGAAATCCCAACAGAGAAACACTCGCCAACACACAATAACAAAACAGCAAGCCAAGAAGAGCCTCCTGGCTCAACAGGCCCGAAACCTGAACTACCCGACAGGACGCCCCGAATCGCAAGCACCCACAGCCCCGACTCCGAACCCCGAAACAAAAAGCCAGGCCCTGTAATGAATCCTAAGCTACCGTTTAAAGTCTGAAAGCTACAACCCTGTAGCAAACCTCAAAAAGTAAGTCCTAAAAACCTAAACCTTGCCTACAAATGAAACCTTCAACCATCTCAAACCCCAAATCAATCTGCTGAAAGGTGTCCCAGTGCATGCTTCCAGCTGCTGCCGTCGCGGCAAGCCTTGGCAGAAGGCAGAAGGCCAACGCTCAGATGAGTCAGGTGGGGGATTTACCGGGTTTAGGGTTTCGGGGTTAGGCTTGGGGTTTGGATTCAGGGGCCAGTCAAGCGGCCGTCACTGCAGCAGTGCACGTAACTGCATCCAAGAGTGGTCGATCCTGCAGCAAGGCCAGCACCGCCTGACCGAGTGCAGGATTAGGTTCTGTGAGGGGCTTTTGGGCTCATTTCAGAGATGCCGATAAGTAAACACCGTGTCTTTTCAGGGCCTTCATACTGAGATAGAGCGGCCGGTGCCGAGGGTAGTACCAAGGGGTCTACATTCGAGGGTGTTGGGTCCGGGGCTTGGGATTTAGAGGCCTAAGGCCTCGAGCTTGCAGTAGCATGTAAAGGGTTTAGGGTTCCTAAACCCTAAACCCTAAACCCTAAGCCCTAAGCCCTAAACCCTAAGCCCTAAACCCTAAGCCCTATACCCTGGGCCCTAAACCCTAAACCCTAAGCCCGAAGTTCCTCAACGCAGCGAATGCACAAGATGTGCCTCCCACTTCGAGGCGTCGCTGCAGGCCAAGACCGTCGTGGAGAGTGCGATGAAACTCGGTCGAACCTTGCCGGGTTTCATGGCTTAGGGTCTAGGGCTTTAGGCTTTTTGGGGCTTAGGATGCAGGTTATGTCAACTTGTAGGCCCTAAGCCCTCAACCCTGAGCCCTAAACCCTAAATCCTAAGCCCTAAACCCTAAACCCGAAGTTACGATGGAAGCAGCTCCTTTGGCAAGACTCCAAAGGAGCTGCTGAAGGGTCGTCTCGCGTTATTTAGTTTGGGGTTTGGGGTTTACAGGTACTACATAACGTATACTATAATCTGTACACAATACTGTAATTATACTACACATGTTCTACCATAATTAATCTGCCTTATGCTATTATTACAAGTATTATCTGCGCTTTCGACTCCTATTACAGGCAGTATAGACTGCTACAGGGTTAACCCTAAACCCTAAACCCCAAACCCTAAACCCTATTCAGAGATTCGGTGGCCCAGCCTCTCCGGCTCTGCGGAGGCTGAGCAATGCCACCGCGGCTTCCCAGGAAGACGTCCGCGCGGCTCCTGGAGACTTTGACAATGCCTTTAAGGGTTCCTCAAGGGCGAGAAGGGTTCCTTTTATAGCTTTTCGGGTTTAGGGTTTAGGCGTGTTCAGTTGTTCTGAAAGGTGTTGTGACCGCTGGTTTGGATTAGGGATTAGGGTTTGGGGTGTTATCTTGGTGATTTGAAGGCTTGGAGTTTAACGGTTTAACGTCTAAGGGGTTTATGGGAGCTTGGCTTCGGGTCCAGATCAGGCAGGGAAGGGCTTAAGACTGGGATCGGAACAAGTAGTAAAACAACCCCCTTGAATACTAACTAGATTAGTAGATCGACTACGGAGACCCCAAAACACTGTCCTGATCATGCAGGCCCGCATACCAGGATCATGAGGTGCTAAGCTGTAAGGCTTGATGCGTCAACAGGGCAGGTGATTGAAGCCTCATGGCTTCGGCATTCTTGGCTTGGAGCCCTGATGCTCCAAATACCCCTAATCCTCATAAAACCCTTTTTGGATCCTTCGGTATACCCTTGTAACTTGTTTCACAGCTGAAAAGCCCCCACACCATCAGAGGTGGCAGGAAGTTTGAGGCTACTAGAATCACTAGAAGGGCAGTGATAGTTGGAATAGGGCGTGGGCAGCCGAGCAGAACTGTATAGGGGCTACAGCGGGATCCCTTTATCGTTTCTTGGTGAGTGCTTCTATATGTATACATATATACATATATATATATACACACTTAAATGTGTATATGTATATATGTATGTATACATACATATAT